TGAGTTCCTCGCGGAAAGAGTCCCTGAAGATGTTTTTTTAAATTTGTTATCAGACAGTGAATATTATTGAAAGGAAGTCTGGGATTAGATCTCTCTTTTTACAGCATACCGTTTCTTAGTATTGTTTTTAGAAAGATACCAATAAATAATAGCATTAGATGGAAAGACAATAGCATGATACACAAAATCTTAATGCTTTTCACGTGGAATAATCTTCAAAAATCGCTGGCCTAAATAATATGAAAATGTAGTTTATAATTTTTCCACCCTAAACCCTTAAATTATATTAACACTAGATTGCCTAAGGAAGTCATTTTGACTTTTTTTTAATTTAAATTAGAAAAACAATTATGTATAAAGTGACGCAATTTCGTAGAATTTTGTGACTTTTTGTGCAACATATAATTTTCCCATTATTAATATTTACTAATAACTTGTTATGAAACTGTAAATAATATAAAAAGTATTAAAAATTAATTTTAAACAAATTTCTTTACACATTAGGTATTCTTTCACAATTCAGTCATTTTGACTGCTTTTGGCAACGTAGGTATATAGTATATACTATATACTAAGTTTCGGTCTTTCTAGTGCTAAACAGATATTCAATAAAAACTCTTTTTTTTTATTTATTCAATATTTTAACTTATAAACCAGTAGCTTCTAAGGAAATTGATAAATCGTTGTTTTTATTTATTTATTTTTTTTAACTTTTATTGTAATTAGACCTTGCTGTATGTTGTTACATATTATTTAAGTTTATACAAATTCAAATAATATAATCGTTATATTAAATAAAAATCGATTTGATAAAAAAATAATCTCAATTATTAGTTTTTTTACATATTAATTTTATTTATACATTTGATAGTTATTATTTTGAATATTTTAATTCTTAATTAATTTATCTGTATTTTGAATCAATATTTTTATTGCACACACTTTATTATCTTTCTATGAACTTTTAGCAAACAAAAGATAAATAAATAAAAATTAATTAAATTCATATTGATTCAAGAGTGTTAAATTGCATTTTTATTTGCTTTGATGAGATTAATAAAGCAATATATATTTTTTTAAACATCTCCACGAGCCTAGAAAATAAAATTTTTCCTGTAAAATATTTTAAAGTGGAATTCTTTGTTATAAATATAATCTAATCAAGAAGTAAGCTATTGAACTAATTTTTTATTTATATTAAAAAGAAAATTTTAAATGGTTTTCCTAATATGATTATATTTTTAGAAATAAGCTTGATGGATTAGCACTTTACTTTGTGACTCTTGTTTTGATATAATTTTTTTTCACTCTAATCCTTAGTTTCAGGTTTTAACTTTTTTTTCTTTTATTAACAGGATTGTTTATTTTGAAAAATAATTATTAAAATATGCAACATAATTTCCTATCTTAAATTTGTATTTGTATAAATTTTTTAAGCTTTTTCATAAATTATATTATTGCCTTGCAGAATATGAGTTTAAAATCTAATTATTTTTTTAAATTGTAAATACAAAATGTTTAATTTTCATTAAGAGTTGTAACTTATTTTACTTATTTGTATTATTAACTTATTTGTACTTATTAACTTATTTGTACTTATTTTATAAAATAGGCTTTATTTAAAATTAATCGTCCTTGGCGTCTCAGTGGACCATATTTCGAGGGAAACGAAATTAATATAATATGACAGTGGATCACATAAAAGTTTGCGACAAATTTCTTAGGGAATTAGGGCACAGTATTAGGATTTAAATTGCATAGAATTCGATGCCTAAAAAGTCGTCGTACGCGGCTAGAGGAGCTTTCCCTGTTATGACCTTTTCAAAAGCGTGCGAAGAAACAGTTCATAATATGGTATCGCCTCTAGCGGCGTATGATGACATTTCTGGGCATGGGTTTCTATACAATTTTAATTCTAATGATGTGCTGCAACTCCCCTAGAAGTGTGTTGCAACATTTATCTGACTCCATGTTATATATAACTTTTTAAACTTGTATCTTTCGACAAAAATAGATTTAAAATGTCATTTTTTTAAAGAAATCGATTCCAGATTTGAAATCAGCGAGTATCAAGTATCTGTTAAAAAAAAATCTCGTGCAACAGAAAAGAACCAAAACAAAATTTGTTCCCCAGTGTTATCGAAATCAATGTATAATTCTCCCACTTTGCAAAATTTTTGAGCCTAGATAATGCAGGGTTGGTATAGCCTTTTTTTAAAAAAAAAACTAGATCAAAAAATACTTTTCAATTATGCAAAGGCGTGTCCTTTCTTTAAATTGACATTTTGCGCTATTTTCAACATTAGCATAAAATGCGCTGTGTGAAAAATAGGCCTAACAGTTGTGATTAACTGTTGCAAGCACAGATATGAAAATAGCATGCTAGTCACAAAAAAGCGTAATTAAATGTGATGACAGTGCCTTAAAGATGATGTCGAAAAGATGTGCTTTATAAGGGTGTTAGCATTCAAAGTCTGTAATGGAAACTCTTAAATGCTTGATTTAGCACATCTTTAAGAATTAAGGAGACAGTATGTGAGATTTTGTTGTAAAAACATTAGTGACATACTGCTCTGAGCAAATAAAGTATGTTATTACCCAAATATGGTAAAGTTCATAGTGTTTCTGGCTCTAAGGGAAAACAAAAGAGCGCGGTCATTTTTACCGGAGCGTTTCGGTAATGATTTTAGTAAAATTAACAATAACATATAGTTTAATCTGTTACAAAATTTGATAAAATTCAGTAATTTTATTATGATACCTTAGAGCATGGCATTAAAACCATTTATTTGGTTACTTTTACTTTAAGTTATTTTTAAATTTTCCTATGCTACCCTGTAGAATTGATCGAGGCTAGGATAACCTAGTTGGTAGGGCGTTGGTCCCATGTCCGAGAGGTCGTGTGTTCGATTCTCGCCGGACTGTAGTAAATGGTGACTGCACGTTAAATCTGTCGGATCATAAAGTCCTCCGTGTTCCCATAACAAATCATTTCTCTGGGGGTATTGAATTGGAGATTGATCGTTTTCTGGTTTAGGTCAAAATTACGATCGGTGGAGGAATTAATGGGTACTCCCTGTAAAACGGGCTGTGACGTGTGTGTGGCTGAAGTCCTATTCTTGAAATAAAAGAAAAGAGAATACAAAATACATAAACTAATTATAAAAGGAAAGGAAATTTCAAAAAACCTACTTAAAAGCATATTCCATTGCCAAAACCAGAAGTACACCACACTCAGAAAATCACAAACCAAACAATTTTTAGCAATTGAATATGTTTTTAAGTAGGTTTTTTGAAATTTCTTTTTCTTTTATTATTAGTTTATGTATTTTGTATTAATTTTACTTTTATATTTTGTTTTTCTATTTTATATTCTCTTTTTTCTCCTTTCCTGGACTTCTTGCAAAAGGGAACGGAGAGAGCACATTTTAGACATTTGTCTTGCTCTCTCGATAGAAAATATTTTGTACTATTTTTATATCTTCCGGGGCTGGTAGGCCCTGACGATGTCAGCTTTTTTTCCCATTGTTTCTTCTTGTTTACAATTTGCTATTGGTTTCAGTTTTCATGTGGAATTTCTGCTACATTGCGTAATTTTCCTTTGAAATTGTAGTTTTATACTGTTTAACATGAATTTTGATTTCTCTTTTTTATCATTGACCATTTTTAAATTAAGGCAAGGGACCAAGTGATATTGAAATGTCATAAGTTTACCTATGAGTGACTGAGTGTAAACAATTACAAGACTCCTAAAACCGAAGGAAATATAGGACAATTCTAGTTTATCCCTCCTCTTGTATTATGTTTACGAGACGGTGTGTGATCATGGCTTGATATTTCATGTGGTTAATATTTCATGGCTTGATATTTCATGTGATCATGGCTTGATATTCATGGAAGTTTTATTATTGTGATTTGGATTTGAATTGACTCTCAATTTTACCATTCATAAGAGTTTTTTGTAATTTATAAATTCTGAAAGGTCGTCCGTCAGCCATAAATAAATTTGAGTAAAATTTATATCACAACGTAAATAAAGCGTAAGGTTTACTATGTTTTGAGTATCTTATTTGACTGTATTTGTGTATCCGTGGTGGCTTAAAGGGTGGAGCTCTCGCCGTCCAATGAGTTGAACCGGGTTCTCTTCGGTTGGTCCTTTCGAATTCCGCACCCGGCTCGCAACAACCACAGTGGTGACGTAAAATATCTTCAGTGGTAGACGGATCTTGGGTTCGAGTCACTTTGCCGTTAGGCTAACCGTAGGACTTTATCCCGGTTTTCCTCTCCATTCAGCCTAAATGCAGGTTAGTTCCATCGAAAAATCCTCCACAAAGGTAAATTTCTCCCAATACTTGATCCAGGAGTTCCCTTGTCTTCTGGATTGGGTTCAAAATTCCAAGGCTATGAAGTTGTAAGTCGGAAGTAATACCCGGAAGTCTAACGAAGAATTTCAACCCTTAGCGCCCCAGTGTTTAGCTTTATACGATTATCCAATCCTACATTGGAATATTCATAAGAAATAGGGGGACCGGAAAATAATGTCATTTCGGTGCATTTGTGATCAAGCTTTTATTTTTAATCAATAATGTATTCACCCTCGTTAGCAACAACCTTTCAATGCCGGATCGAAAATGAATCGAAATGGATTGGAAAAAAAAGGAATTGGTTTTTAAGACAAACGAATATTTAATGCGCCGAAACGACGTTACTTTCCAGTCCCTCTAATACTTGGTTGATTTCATTATTGTAATTTTACCGTAATATTAGAAGGAAAATTCTGAAAATGTGGCTTTAATTCGACGCTAACAATCAAACCAAGGAAATAAAAATATACGTTTTAACCAATTTGCGTCTCATAGAAAGACTAAACTTTCACTGATACGTAATTCCCTTTAATAACTTATTAAGTTAGCAGAAATTATGCACTATGTCATAGTTCATGCTACCTATCTTTTTAGTTTAATCCTGGACTGATTTTAAAAATGTGTTTTTTTTTCCAGGACTCCTGCACCATATGGAAGCCATGCGCACCGACCCAAGACATCAGTTCGCTGCTCAGTATCTTCTGAGCCGTGCTGCTGCCGAACGGAGAATGAAGGATCCAAGTGACCCATCTGGTTCTGGTATGCCACCCTCCTCCTCTGCTGAGCAACAGCACCATGCCCACTTGCAACAGCAGTGCTCCAATATGATGGGAGGCATGCCACCACCTCAACAGCAGCCACAACAACAACAGCAGCCACAGCCACAACAGCAGCAGCAACAACGTCTTGGTAGCAACAATAGCAACAGCAGCAACTGTTGTAGCTCCGATTCTGAAACGGATCTCAACAATAGCCCACCCACCGCCAAATCAGACAACTCCTTACAACCGCAGCAGCAACAGCACTACACGAACATGCTACATTAACGAAAATTGGACGTTTAATCGCCAAGCATGTATATATATATACATATATACTGTGCTGCCATTTTAAAGTTATATAAATCGGACACGATATAAAAGAAAGAAAATTCCTGTACGATATTTGACATATATTTGTAATATATGTTAAAAACTTTATGACAATTATTGGTAAATTTAGCTCATGACTTTTTCAGTTGTTCTGTACGACATTATTTACTAACATCAGGCGATATGAAAGCCTTTTTATTCTCATAGACTGATTTGTTTTTATTTCCCTTTCATTTTAGTTTGTTTATCTTTGTTTGATTCTAGTGACGATATCGATGTAAAATGAAGCATACCTTAAATTGTTTATATAATGTATATGTATATCCTTTTAAGCATGTAAAGATTATGAATTTTTTTTTTACTCTTACTTATAGAAATGTGTTGCTGCATTTGTATAATGTGGACAATACCAAATATCTCAACGTATTTCGATGTTATAAAGATTCTTCAAAGATAGTTTTATAATAAGTTAACATTTGCAGCCCATTATAAAAAAATAATATCCTTTCTAGGGGGAGTAAAAGTTTTATTAAACATGGTTATGTTGATACAAAAGATTTTAATGTCATATTAAGAATTATTGCTATTTCATTTGTAAAAGAAATAGGTGAAGAGGGAAATGAAACTTATGTTGCTGAGATAGTATCTGTAAAAACAACAATAATTATCTATAAAAAGTTTAGAATATTACTCATAACACCATTTATAAATTTCCATCGAAAACAGAATAAAATATTTTTAATTATAATCTAAACATTGCTTGCATTTAATAGAAATATTACATCGCCTATTATTACAAAAATGCAAAACATCAATATTGGTATACAAAAATTTGTTTTATGAGATTATTTTGTTGTTGTTTTCTGTTAAATTGAGCTAAATGTTTATGATAAGTTTTAAAGAAATAATAATATCTAAGAATCAGCTGACAATAAAATTAAACGTTCTAACTTCTAACGCAAAAAGAAGTAACAGAATTGATACGAAATTATTAGATACGAAATTATATTTGTGCAGTTATTTTGTAACTTTAAAATTTTTTCTAATATATTTTTTTAAACATAAAAGCAATAAAAATTTAGCTAGTAAAACAACGCTTATGTCTAAGTTAAATCTTCAAAAAGCTGCATCTTCTATCTCTGCAGAATGACCAAATAGATAAGCAGCTATTTCAGCAGATAGATAAGCAGCTATTTGTTTTCTTAAAGTGAATAAATCTCTCAAATAGATGCTACTTCAGATTAAGAGGACTGTTTATATCATTGAGTAGAGAAAAAATTATAACTATATAAGACCTTAGGAGGACCAATATTTTTATATGGAAGTGAGTTTTTGGGAATGAATACGTCAGAAGTAGATAGAGTTCTTATATTTGAACTAAAGTTTCTGAGAAGTATTTTTGGTGCAGTAACGCTGAATAATATGCGAGCAATAAAGTACAACTTTGAGTTATACAACAAATTCAGAGAACCAATTATGGTGAATTATATTAAAATTCTATTTGGTCGCATCTATAAAAATGACCCAGTAAAACAAAAAATTTCACAAGCAAGAAGGAAAAAGAGGTTGACCACACAGAAGATGTTTAGATAATATAGAAAAGTGTCTGAAGAGTGTGAGATGGAGAGTAATGGCGTCCGATAGATCGCGATGGACAAAGCTGCTTAAGACAGCCATGGCTGACAATCGGCTGTAGTGCTGGTAGTGAAGGAGTTTATTTTTGTCTTTAAATTATTTTTACAAAAGAAGTGTTTTTACAACAATATTAAGTTATATTAATCGAAGTTATTGCGCATTTAAGAAAAAAAGCTTGGAGCATCACAAACTGTTTCTCTTAGCTGTTTCGTAACAAGTTCACTGAATAAATAAATAGCTATATCTCAATGTTTGCATCAAACATTACCTTATTTGGACAATGTAATGATGACACACGTTTCATCTATGCTATGTCTCAAATGGTGCTATATCACGCATCTCCGATTTCATAGCCGTCATTTTTTTCTCTTTATTTCCCACATACATGGCTACCATATATCTCTATAGTAAAAAGTTTTGTAGAAAATAGTTCTCTGGTGAACCTTTTACAGTATTAGTATAGATATTTCACTCATGATGTAAATATTATCATATATTTGCTTCATACTGTCAGAGAACTAAGTATTGAATCTTCGAATAAATAGCCTAAATAAGAATATTCCGCCAAGATAAGGTTATTTTAAAATAGTTGAAATATCCCTAAATATTAGTTAATTAAAATTCGAATATCTTAAATATTAAGGTTTTAATCTAACAGCTAAAATATGAATATTTTGCTTATTTACCTAATTTTCTAATGCATTGTATATGAATATTTTTCCTGATACATTTATTTTCTGACGGCTTAAGTATATCTAAATATTATTTCTAATATGAACATCTCATAATTCTAGCTTCTAATATTGAAACTTTAAATTAAATTTTAACTTTCTTTTTAAAGCTCATTTGTTAAAATATTCAAGTTAAATATCTTAAATTACCGTAAATAATACAATTTTTCCTGATAAGTTTATCTTCTAACAGCTAAATTATGAATATTTTGCTTATTTGCTTAATTTTCTAATAGATTGTATATGAATATTTTTCCTGGTGCATTTATTTTCTAACGGCTTAAGTATATCTAAATATCATTTCTAATATGAACCTCTCATAATTCTAGCTTCTAATATTGAATATTTTGCTTATTTGCTCAATTTTCTAATACATTGTACATGAATATTTTTCCAGATAAATTTATTTTCTAACAGCTTAAATATTTCTAAGCATTATTTCTAATATGACCCTTTCATAATTTTTATTGAAATCTTAAATAAAATTTTCTTTCCTTTTAAAAAAACCAATAGTATGCTCTAAACTTTTAGTTCAGTTGTTGAAATCTAAACATACAAAAATTGTAATGAATGAGGTAGCATTTTTTTAAACTGTAATTTACATCCAATGAAATGATGAAATTCATTTTCATATTATAACAATGAAGCAATTCCAATAATTTAATTAGTTTCGAGAAATTTGCAATATATTCTTATTCCTGTTGAAATTTTATTAGATTACTTGCAAATTTCACAGCAACAATTAATATATTTTGAGTCTTCGAAAATAATTTTCAAAGCAGCATTTTGTCATCGTATCGTCACCAGAATCTCTTTGGTGTTGTCATGGTATTGTTTTTTTTTTACTTATTGCAATTGTAAAAATTTTTATTACTGTATACAATTTTATGCTTGACGCTGTTTCAGGCCATAATAACTTGATTGGTTGTACAATAACCAATCAACAAATAGTGTTTCTCAACATTTTAGTTTTTTAACAACAAAACCGTGACCTTTAACTCCTAATTGATTTCTTTTTATTATATTAAATTTTTTGTTTCATTAAAAATGTGAAAAAAATTTTACATTTATAAAAGGAACTATAAGTAAAAACTGAAATGTATTTCTAATTATTTCAATTAATAAAGCTTTAATTTTAAATAATTAATTTAATAATTTTAAACTTAGTTTTTTATCTCTGCAATATTTCAATGTTCTCATTATATGAAAATAACACAAGCTATGTGCACTGATTATAATATTTTTTAATGGTTTATTGTAAGTTTAATAAATTACTGTTAAATTATCATGTACTTTCAATTTCATTATTTACCTTCAAAACATTAACCCAACTTGTTTATGGCTCATAAACTGTTACTAAAAACAAATTCACAATAATTAAGTTGAGAAACACTTTTTTAGAATTACAAAAGTTTGCATGCCAATTTCAAAAGTTCCTGCACTCTAAATATTATAAGATCAGATTTTTTTTCAACGAAAATCACGAAACATGTTTGTTTAGTGCAGGTTGAAGTGTCTTCAGTTGATGTTATTTTTAAATATTTTAAGCTGTTTTAATTTTTTATGTATGTATTTGTTGATCTTTTATTCCATTAAAATTAAGGAAAAAATTTGATGATCATGTGCAAAAAATGTCTAAGGAGTATGCATTAAACGCATGTAACTTGTTTAGTTAATTGCATATCATATTCCTATCTGAAAGAATGCGACTGTATGCAATTGCGAAAATAATTTTTAAGCTTAAATGTATCTTTTTAATAACTTACTGATTCTTGATAAAAATTTTAGGTAACATTGAAATTAACTAATATCAGTTAATATTCATCGATTACAGATATTCTTTTTGGATAATTTTTTAACCTTTAATATTGTTAGTTTATATTTTTTAGTATATTAATGATGTTATAATCTTTATTGCAACTTTTTTTTTAAACATCAATGTAAAACATGCTTTAGTAACCAATTTATGAAGAGCTTTTAATTTTAAACTAGATACATTTATTAAAAAAGTAATCTGAACTAGTAGGGTAACCAATAAAATATACAATCAATTACTCATTATGTTATGGCTTAACTAATAAATATTGCATTTTGTATACAAGAAAATAAAATGATAAATGCAATCTTTTGTATATCCAATTTCAGTAAAAAAAAAATTAAAATTTAAGTGCATTGTAATCAAATATATTGTGTTTCAAAATTTGCAAGTAAGCAATTACTGACTTAAAGAAAAACACTATGGTAATTAAGTTTTGAAAATTTGGGGTGAAAAATGTTCTTATTTGTGTTACAAAATTTACTTAATGAATAAAGAAAATCTTGCTTACCATAAGTGTAATATTATAATCACATTATATTTATTTTTTAAATACTTGTCAAAAAAAGAATTAAAAAAATATGAGCCTCTGGGATCGCAAATTAATTTAACCCAAGAAAAAGCAAACTGTATCAAAACCTGTTTGATTGCAAATTGGCATTTTTTTTTTAATAAAAATTTTAATAATTTTTTTAATATTTAGGCTATTTGTGGGTTTTAAAGCTCAGTAACTCTTTCCTACAAGATTGCACACATAGTAAAAAATTATAGATTTGCTTAGAATGGAAGGCTTTTTAACTGTTACTTTATTTTCTTTGGAGAAAGAGCATTGAAAAATACACTTAAGAGCAGTCATTATAGAACTCCCTTTTTAATTTATATCGTGATAATTAAAATGGATTAACGTTATTTCGTTAAAACATGTTGCATTTCTTCGTAATTGTAACTTATACTATTAACAACACATCCTGTCTTTCTTCACGCATTTTTTTTCTAAACTCATTGAATATATTGAACAAATTTCATGGAATTTAAGCTCAATGAATACTGTGAAATGTTTGATCAGTGTTGCCAAATTATATTTGAATAATATATGGATTTTATGTTATTTTTTTTTTGTTTGAATCGTCATGGCGTTCTGTAAAATGAAATTTTGTAAAAGTTGTGTTTTACAGAAGAGAATCAGTGTAAATGTGATGCCATTGGAGTAAACAGATTGTAAATAAGGTGAGTCATTTGTGGATTGTATGGAAAAAATTCTCATGAAATTCAATGTTTGTAAATTGTTTGAATATGTGTAAAATCATTTTTTTAAAAGAGCATGTCCTGTTGCATTTAATTCAAATTGTTATATGCTTTAGAGATTTTTTTTATCACTATGATTTTTATCAGATCATTTGTAATTTCTTTTTTGCTGAAATCGTCTTGTGCAATATAATCAGATTTTTAATATATATTTATAAAAATTGTAAGATGTTAGAATTTTATTTTGCTTTTTAGCTTTTTATTTTTTCATTGTAAACTTTTATGAATTACAGCAAATTTCAAAATCAACTAATACAGTTCCTAAAATTATAAACTGAAAACTCAAATGTTATTGGAAATATTAATTATATATTTAAAAATTAGTAATCATCAATTGCAATTAAATATGACGTGTGCTAATATGTTATTGTAATAACCATTTTGAATTGATTTACCATATTGAAATGGTATTCATTTAATTTGATTTTAATGTAAACATTTTATGTGAATTTAAAACTAAATGGAATTTATAAAATTTTTGATGGATTTGTTTCCTACAATATTAATTTCAAGTATATTATGATACAGTCTTTCTTAAGTATTTTTTAACTTTCATTTATTTATTGCTCTCAAATTTTATGCATTTAGTAAGAATTTTTTTTACTTGTTTATTAACTATATGAATATTTTATTGTCCTCAAACATTTAAATAACGAATGATGCTCTACTTTTAATATTTCAAATACGTAAGGAATAAAATCGAATTAAATTAGAATAGAATTTTCGTCATACTTTTTATAAAAATAAAGCGATTTCAACACAAAATCAATTCCGTGCTGTTATCGTTCTTCCAATTAGAAATGTTGGCTTTTAATAATTTTTCTAATATATTTCTATTTTTTAACTATAATTTTTGAACTTAATTATGATTTTTCAATCCCAATATCTAAGAAATAAAGATTTATAATTTTTTCCAGTCATCAAAAAAACTATTTTAATTAATGGTTCCAGGCGTAAAAAAAACTGTCTTAATAAATTTTTTATATAGATGTATTTAATTAAATCGCACTAATTGCATACATATATGCTCTCACTTAATTTTAATTTTTTTATTGGCTGATTACTGTAAAAAAGTAAACTAAAATATTTCTTTGCACTTAAATTAACAAGTTGTTGATTACTTATGAAAAATGTTTCGAACTTTTTTTTTGTAGTTATGTGACTTAACATCGCAATGACAGTAATTATTTAAATAATTTATTTTATAGTTAACAAAGCAAGGAATCCTGATTTGTTAACAAAATTATTTCGTGTGAAATATCCTGAAAGAAACAATAATAAAACTTAATTTTTTACTTTCAATTTTTATTAATTATTTACTTAATAATTTATTTTACGGAGAAAATAGAATATTTTGATGTTGTTGCCAGAAAACTCTTGCAAAATTAACTTACTAATCTCTTAATAATGTGTAATTTTTGGCATTTTATTAAGTAATAATGAAATTTTTTTGCCATCCTATTTTTAGGTCATACCTTTCTATGGAAAAAAATTCACTATTAGTAGCCTAAATTATGTAACATCTTTCCTTTTTTTTAATCTATATATACACAATTCTATATATAATTTTTTCGAATTAAATTTGATCAATATGTTCATAAAAAAATAAGGAATATCATAAATATTTTTATACAGAAATATTGCGATAATTTCTCTGAGAATATTTCAAGTTTTACAGAAAGACAGATTCTACAATATTATTTAGTACAACTTAAATCATTATTATACCTTTTGATACGTAATTTTTTTTCCGATGAAACTTTGTTCTAAACTTTATAAAACAATAAATAGCAGGAAA